CTTTCCATATTTTCTTATCTGATATGTGCTTCCAGGGCTTGATGCAATGAAGCTAGAGAGCATTGGTAGGATTTAATTTCCAGGTTAATCATCTGCCTAGTTTGTGTGTGCTGTCTTTGTCATATAATGCCATAGGGAGCTAGTACTGCCTTACAATTTTATCCCATTGTTTTTCCTTAAAAGAGGCACCACTTTCCGTTTGTGCTAAGAATGCATACCATTCCTGTTTGCTAGGGTTGGGAGTGCTTTTAAAACTCCATGGGTCTTTATTTGTTAATGATTTTATTATATATTTTTTGAGACAAAGTCTCTGAAGGCCAGGAATGGAGTACTATAAGTATCCTCTTGAGGTTTTACTTTTATTTTGTTTATATTATAAAGGTGGGGGGGTGGGTCTGTGTGGGGGCATTTGCATATGCATGCAAGTGCCCATGGAGGTGAGAAACAGACATAAGATCCTTTGGAACTCATATGATAGCCAGTACTGAGTTGCTCAGTAGCCAGTACTGAGTTCTGGCAACCTAAGTTGGATCATCTGTAAGAGAAGTACTCACTCATAAACACGGCCATCACTATAGCCGCTTGCCCTTTGACCATTTAAACATGGTTCTTTACTGTTCTTTTTTCTTTAGGTTGACTATACCCCTGTGTCAGAGTCTTGGATGGTTTCCCAAGGCAGTGTTAACTTTAATGTGTACATTTAGGAAGCAATATATACATCTAAAGTTTGGGGGTGTAATATGCTTGTATGACAAGTAAGATCCTATTCTACCCATCTGCAAAAAGACCCAGGACTATCCCTGGTGCATGGATAAAGGTCTAATACAGGACAGTAAATAATATGTCTACTGACTTAGGTCTTTAGCTCCTGTTTCCTTTTGAGATTGTCAGTGACTCAGTGAGCTGTGATGGCGGCCTTGCTTGGTTTCTGCTATGGGTTAGATTTTAAAGTACCTCGGCCTAAAGAAAAGTTCTTTTCAGATTTTGTAGATAAACAAGAGCAGATCAAATATCGGTTTTTGTTGTTGTTGCTTAAATAGTTTTGTTACAATTCATTTACTTTGTATGAAGCACTGGCAAATTTAGCCAGTAAAAAGTATGGATCACTGGTTTGACTTAAATTTAAAATAGACAATTTAAAAGAATTCTCTTCTTACTTTTTAATGTTATGAGTTTTTGCCTGCAGGTATGTATTCACTTGAAGTGTATGTGGTGTTCTCAAAGGTGAGAGGGCATTAGATGACCTGGAATTAGAGTCATAGGCAGTTATGGGCCACCATGTAGGTGTTGTAACCAAGCCCAGATAATTTGCTACAACAGCAAGTGCACTTATCCAGTGAGCCACCTCTTGAGCCCAACAATGTTTTAAAAAATATTAGTATGTTCAAAGTAATATCTGTTTCTGTTGTCTATATGAAATTCACATTTTACTTGGACACCTATTATTTTTTCAGGCAGCTATGATTAAAAATCATTTTCAATACTAATTTTCTATTATGAGGACATATGAATATATTTGCCTGTGGCTAACTAGGTAACAAAATACACATAATTAGAATATGAAAGATGAACTATCAGAGGAAAACATGCCAATCAATTGTTGCAAGAACTTACATCAAAGTCCTAAAACATACTTAAATCTTCCTGAAATGTTGGGACTATGTAAAATCGGTGGTTTAGATGACTCAATAGCTAACAAATTGCATCTAGTAGACCCAAGGCAACTTGTAACATTATCATACACTTTAGGTGATGAAGAACTGTTAGTGTTCAAGCCTCCTTGTATGATGACTTCCACGATGGCTTAAACAGCTTTTGCACTGGCTGCTCCAGCATTCTTTTGTGTACTCTTTAAGGAAATCTTCTGAAAATCAAACTCTGTTCACTGCTCAGGTGATGTAAGACTTCACTAGTTTTTCATATGCTCGGCCACTGTGAGTTTAGAATCACTAGTTTTGGAGATATCGGTTGTCCTAGTAAGATAAATCTCCTATACATAACCTATGTTGCATCTGTTTGCCCTTATCATGAGAAGTCACACCCTCTAGATACTTTCACAGACTCATTCCTCCTCTCCTCACTGTCTCAGTTGCTCCCTGTGTAGTGACCCCCCTGCTTTTTTGTTTCCATGTACCTCTGTGTTCAGATTCCCCCAGTGGAGGCTTCTCTACCTTCTCATGAACTCCTGGTCCCCACCCATGTTTGGAGGCTTGGGCTGGTATTCCTAACTCTGGAAATTTTCAGTGTCACCACCAAGCACGTATGTTCTCACTACTGTTCACATCCAGTAAATCTCTTTTGTAATGAGGGAACTCACGGGGCAATCTGAGGCCTAGTTCCTTTACTTCATATAGAAAAGCATAAATTCACAATGATTTAAAGATGTTTTCAGAAGACGTAGAGTCAGGAGCATGGGTTGTGCCATTATTTAGTCATTGTGAGGTTGAGCTTCTCTGTACCATGACATCATTACAGTCACAGAATGCTATGCTTGAGATAAGAACTTAAAGTACTTTGTTGGATTAGGTAGAGTGGGTGCTCAGAAAGTGTTCTTTGTTACTGCTTACTCTTTTGATTAAAAAAAGAGGACATTTTGGAGACAGTGTGTGAGACCAGGCTTCCATTAGAGCAAAGAACCTTAAATTTCCCTACCTTGAGAAATTTCTTCTTCCTTATCCTAGACAAACATCCATTGTCACTTAGCAACTCACATTTATGATTATAAATTCATTTTGGGGGGATGTCATTGTGTAAAATATCACAGAGTACACATGAATAAAATGCTACAGTCTACTGTATGTGGTGGTAGGTGGCTAGGTATACCTGACCTGTGACTGTCACTCAGTACATGACTGAAGCTCTTTGACATATAATCCTGTACTATGTGATATATGATTCCATAATCTCTCTATGTTCACATTTTACTCCTTGTCTGGCATGTAGTTGAAGCTCAGGGTTCTTGAATGAATGAATGTATGAGTGAATGGTAATAACACATTTGTTACTATCCTTCTACCCGTTAATGACAGATGTGAAAGAGACCTGCATTTTATTGTTTCTATGGCTGTTTAAAAGTAAATCATAGTGCACTCCAGTGATGAGATTTTGAAAGGCTGTCCCTTATTTCTGCTAGATCTTTACCAACACATCATATTTTAATGTGACCCACAGTTAAGACATTTTTTTAACTTCTTAAGTTCTTCCCCTCTCTGTATTACTGACTCAAAGAGGTACGTGTGTTTTTAAAAGCTCAATAAAGCAGCTGCTCTGAAAGACATTAAAGTAATTTACAGTTTGCTTCCACCAGCCCAGTACAAATTCAACCCATGCTTTCCCCACCTTCTGTCTCTGCTACTTATGAGCTCATACTTGTGAATTACTACTATCCATTTTACTCACTGCAGACCCATGCCTGATGTAGTGGAGTGGAAGGTCACCGAAGTACACAAATCTAGCTTTGGGTATGAGACAGCCAGTGCACATATGTGGCAGCATCATTTTGTATGTGAAGAGGCAATGTCTACATCTTACATTCAATTCATTTGTAAATAGCACAACAAAACATCATAGGGCTCTTGTGGGATTAAATGAGATGGCGGCATTTAATTTATGTTATAAATAATATGGAGCAAAGATGACATTAAGTTAAAGCTGTTGTGGTCGAGTACAAATGAGCATAGAGAACTTTTGACTGTTCCATTCATTTCAAATGTTTTTCAATTTTATCAGCACATATTGCTTGCATAAAATAATGGGTTTAAAATGAAATGCTCTTGAATACACACAGTGACTTTAGCCATACCCAAGCCTTCTTCACTCCCACTTATCCCCAACTCCATTCTGCCACTACCTCGGTCCTTCCAGAACAGTGTCTGTTTTACTTCTGTGTGTGCATGCATTGGTGTGTGTGTGTGTGTGTGTGTGTGTGTGTGTGTGTGTGGAGGGGGGGTGCATACAAGTGTGCATGCATGCTTAATGTTTTTGAATCATTTTGCTTTCTGGGAAAATAGCATTTATTCTTCAAGATCAGCTTATTCTCAGTGTTGACAGTAAGATGTGGTTTGTAATGTCAAAGCAGAGTGCTCCTGTTTCTTAGTTAATATTGCATCCTTTTGTATTTTGTCTTATTCCATAAACTATCACAAAAATTGTCTTGTGTCACAGGTAATACTTGTGAAGGAGACTCCTCTAGTCATTTGCTGACGGGCCCTCATTCAGGTCAGGGAAGAGACTCTGCGAGTAAGAATGATTGTTGCATAAGCAGAAGAAACAAGTTGAGAGATCTGTACCCATTATAAAAAAAAAAGGAGGCAATCATTGTTTAGATACCTACGACTCTAGTACTCTGGAATTGAAGTCAAAGGGAACTTTGGGGATTGCTGGCTGTATGCAGGCAGCCTGGCTAGTTCCAGTTTCAAAGAGAGTCTTTGTCTCAAGAGATTAAGGTGGAGAGTAATCAAGCCTAGGGTCCTCCTCTGGCTGCCATACACATGTGCCTATCCATATATATACTAGTGCTTATACCACCACACACCTATGTGCTTGTACACAGAAATGATCATCATATCCTCACTTAATAGCAACAACTGCAAAACTAAGGTTTCAACTCTTTGACAAACCATTTGGGGGAATGATTTCTACAGTATTTATTAACTTAGCAATTGATGAGTTTCTATGAAGTAGAAAAATATCTTTGTCTGGTTAGCTTGGTATCCACAAGATTGACAGAGGACAGACAAACAGTGGAAGTTATTTCTGGAATAAAATGAAATCTTGTAACAAGAACCTATGAACAAATCTAGCAGTTTTTGCTTAGTACTTTTTGTGCTATGCTGTGTTTTCTTTTGTACAAATTTCAAATTTCTTACTGTTTAGAGATAAGATCTCACTATTCGGCTCATGCTTGTTTCAACCTTGTGGTTCTCATGCTCCAGCTTTCCAAATGCTTGTATTACTGATATGGGGCAGTGTTCAGCTTCGAATTTCATCTTATTTTACAGATTCACTTTATGAAAATTGCTCCTGAAAGAATTTGGATGTCCAAGAGTGGTCCCTAAAGGACCAATACTTATAGGACCTGGGAATCCTTTTGATTCTGCAGTGCAACTACCTATCCTCTGTCCTCCAGTGATGTCTGCTCATGGTTAAAGTGAAGCAGAAGCAATGCTTCTGTTGTTTACATGTTTGCTTTCCCTCAGTTACGTAGAAATCAAGACATAAATTCCTCTACACTTCATACCAAACTGGAGTGGTTCATTGTGTGCTAGCCACTGGTTATTGCCACCTTAATTTTGTAATCATGCTTACTTTTGAGGGTCTTTGTTGTCTGCAGACTATTGTTAGGGTTGTTACCTCCCTTTTACTGTGAAGGGAGAAGAGAGAAGGAGGGAACAGAATCATAAAGATTAGTGCTCAATTGATGGAGGAAACAGAAGCTTGTTCAAATTTGGGTTTCCTCTCTTTCATTTTAGTGTGTACCTGTGAACAAACTTGCCCACTGTCTCTAAAGGGCACTCCCTTAGGCCAGTGACAGAACCTATCCTATAACAACAGCCCCAAGAGAAACATTATTTGCCATGGGAGTTATAGCAAAGTACCCAGAAATTCCATTTAAACACTTGAAGTGAGAAATGGCCCTCAGTGTGTCTTTCATTTCCTTGATTCCAGGGAAAAATGCAAACAAATGGGGGCTCCAACACTAGGCTGTAAGTTTGAATCTCTTACAATGGCCCAGACCTTTCCTTATCAGATGCCTTATCTGTAGAGCTCTGGTAACATCAAAAGTTCCTGAACAGTCACTTGTTATAAACTTAGAATAGGGTCTGCTTAGTACTCGTAGTTAAAAGAACTATAGTCATTATTGCTATTTGTTATTTGTGAAAATTAAGTCTCATCTGACTTGAAATGCATAGAAAGTGCTTGTATTTCTCTTTATATATAAGAACGGCAATTCCCTCCTAAAACTAGAAGTTAGGAAGTTCAGAATCAGCTTCTTCATTTGTTAGAAGACTTTGGAACAGATTTCTCTGTTTATTAGAGGGTTTTCCATCACTCCATCTTGAGAACAAGCATTCTGAGCATGTGGAAAATGAGCATATCCCCCTGGTGCCTTTGGCAGCACATCAAGAGCATATATAAATTTACATTACAAGTCCATCTCTGTCCTGACACTTCCCTGAACTTCATCTCTGTAGGATGATACTTTAATAATGACTTCTTGTAAACATTTGGAATGGATTCAGACATAGGTTAGTATGGTTTCTGGTAAACATCAAGAGGAAGATTGCTCATTGATTTTATCATATATCTTGCAGATCTACCCATTGTGTATCATTCTCATCCCTCTACTAAATCTAGACACTACAAGATATGGGGTTGTCTTTAAAGCCTTGCCCTTCCATTTGAGGGGAGTCAGAGACACCTCCCCTACAAGAAGGAAGAAAACCTTGTGTCAACAGCTGTCAGTGAAAATCTGTCCCTACAAGTTTGTGTCATGGAGCATTAATATTCTTTATATGGCCAACATTTCTAGCATTTAATTTTCCAGATGTATTTTCAAAAAACATGTTATAGTACGGTCCATTACCAATCACTAATAGAGAGTTTTATGACTCACTTTTGGACCAAAAAAAATGATCATTTGTTCTGTGAGGATACATTTGCAAAACTAGATGTGGTAACATTTAAATGGCCACTTATTTCTAGTAGAATACCGCTCTGACTGTAGCCTAAAACTTAGATTTTCAATTCATGGCATCATTATCTTCAAACCCAGATGGATGTATTTTGCACTTAAGGAGCATAAGTGAAACCAGTTGGATGGAAATAGGCTGTGTCTTATCATTAAGAAATTTATAAATGGAAAAATAGTGATTTGCATACTAAATGTATGGTTGGAGGCCAGGTCCATCCCCCAATGGAGTTTGGCTTTTCAAGAAAGAGGAAAGCAACACACATCTCCACTACATGCTCCTTTGTTAAAGAATGGTGGCTCCAGTATCCAGTGGTCAAGCTGAGCCATGTGAGCTCTTTCATGAGTGTGATGAGCATTGTGGGGATTCTTCCATGACTCATCTGTCCCTTCCATCCACAAAACTTTTATTTTATGCATATTCTGCATTTTAAATTTCTAGAAAATAGAGCTCTTAAAATAATGCCATCACCGCCTTTAATCCCACCACTCAGGAGACAGAGGCAGGCGGATCTCTGTGAGTTCGAGGCCAGCCTGGTCTACAAGAGCAAGTTCCAGGATAGCCTCCAAAGCCACAGAGAAACCCTGTCTCAAAAAAACCAAAAAAAAAGAAAGAAAGAAAGAAAGAAAAAGTCATCACTGTTGTTTCTATCTTATTTTTAACCACTTTGTGACCTGTGAGGATCCATCAAACAGTTTTCAATTCTTTCTTTATTGATGTCTCCACAGTCAGTTTCCAACATTCCTAAGGACAGCTGTAAAGTAAACAATGATTTCCTGAATTTATGCAGTGCCTATAGTGTAAATATTTCTGCAGAGAGAGGTTTCTTAGTCTAGAATACACATCCTGAAAAGCAAGGTGATAGCCTGTGAAGTTTCTTTTTCTTTTTCTTTTTCTTTTTCTTTCTTTCTTTCTTTTTTTTACATTTCTGTCTTCTGTAAGATTTACTCATACTTACATAAACCTCAAGTGTTTGTTTTATAGCTAATCTCCACTGACAGCTCTTCCAAACTCTGTTTCTATGTTGCTTAAAGTACAAAGGGTACGATAAAGAAATGAAATGGAGGTTAAGCAACCTGTCTGAAGGCTCAGAGCTAGCTGCTGACTGTGTCAAGAATCAAACAGAGAATCAAACAACACTGGACCCACTGTTCCTTTAAAGGGCTCATTGTTTCCATGTGGCTCTTCTCAAGAGTAGGGTCCAACATCTTTACTTGTCAATGTAAAATATCCTTTACACTATTAAGGCATATAAATCATACAAGTTAATATGCCAGTGTAATGTTTATAACCCATGACAACTAACCACCAGTAATATAATATGTCAAGCATGTATTTAATTGCTAATTCTGGGCTGATAATTCTGAGGATAATTTTTGTTTTGCTTTGTTTTACTTTCAGGAAGTCACACAAGTTCCAGTAATTAGTGGTAAATGAAAGCACAACCTGATAAAACACCTGCAGACTTTAAAAATTGATTTTGTAATATGAATACTCAACAGGCTCCCAAAAGGTTTCCTTATCACAAACTTAAGAATGGCAAATGTGATTAGTGAAGTTAGTTGGATTTTGGAAACAGATACAAACAGGATACTTTCTAAAGGATGAAAGAAAGACAGTTCAGTGGAAGCATTTCTCTGTACACTTAGGGCTGCAGATTATGAGGTGTTCCTGAATTATCCTCAGAAAGGGGCTGAGACAAGAGAACTTCCAAAGCCCTCTCACACATGTGGCATTGTGTTCTAGGTGAGATCTTACTTTCCTGCACCATTCCGGAAACATTTACCTCTCTCCTATGCTTGACGCTGCATGATGTATATACATGACTGTCTACCCAACTCTTTTCCTCCTTGACACTGGACTTTGGGAGGACAAAACTAGGTGTCCAGGTATCTGTGTTGTTTCAGTAATTAACTCCTACTACATGTATTGAGGTTCTCTGTGATTAGTTATAGCTTATCTATACCAAGCTCATGCAAGGCTGTTTATGACTTTTATTTCACCTGAGTGACAACTACAAGCTGAAACTCCAACAGGCTTAATAGTGTGAATGGCAGAAGGAGGAACTGAAGCCCATCCATTCCCTCCCTCTCTTAGGCTTTCATTCAATAGCTTTATCCTGAGAGAATCTTCATGTGTCAGACATTATGTCAGAACTGAGGATCTAAAGACAAATGCATTAAGATCCCCTGAAACTCTGCCTAGTCACAGAGGTAGACTATAAACAGTAATTATAACACAATGTGATAAGGGCTTTGACAGAACAATGTGCTCTCTGCTCTGGGATTTCTAAAGATGGAATAAATGACTGTGCACACCAAATTGTTCCATTTAATTTTAATGTACTTTTAATATTCACTCTAGTCTGATTGTTTAGTACGTAACAACCGTAATTCAGAAAAAGGTAGGAAAAGGCCTATGCAAATTATGAAGGTTTAAATATTGCAATTCTATTTCTAAACTAATTAGAGCTCATTATTGTTCACATTATACATTTAATTTGAATCTCAGACAGAAATCTATATAGTGTCTAATGTGGAAAATCTTTAAATGGCTTTCTTAGAAAAAAAACATTATTGTTGTCATTTATATAACATAGAAATTCAAAGACAAGTCTCAGAAGAGAATTATTTTTGAAGGTACCTTCCAAGAACAGAAATATGGAGGAATTAGGGTAAGGTACAACATGTCATGAAGATAGCTCAGATTAAGTCAGAAACATAAATAGTGTTCTAGAAGGAAGGTGGTGGGTGCCTGAGGTTTGAGTAGAAGTGCATCTGCTGTTTGTTTTGTTTTTATTATTATTAAATCTTGTACAGATAATGTTTGACTGGATTTATTTCACTTGTCATAGTTTATCAATTTTTTTTAATTCTCTTGAAAAAATAACTGGAAAATTATAGCATTTAATAATGGCAATTAAAATATCTTTTCTGAATTAATAAAATCATCAACCTCTTAACATTTCTTAATAATCATCAAGCTATTGCAATTGAAGCAAAGAAAGCCTATTAACAACAAGACATGAATATGCCAGGAATAAAAAGTCTTAAGTAAATTGCCATTATAAAATGCTATAGGTTTTTTTTTTTGAAAAAAACTTGGAAAATAATTTGAAATTTTATTACATTTCTTCTTTACTTTTATAGAGAGATCACATTTATGTATATTAATAGGTTATATTGTGTGACTTTTTTCAACTGAGAATAACTAGCATACACAGAAATTTAAAATTTTAATATTTGCAAGAAGCCACACATATATATACTGAAAGCCACACATAATATTACGTTTAATTATTTTCATTCTGAAAGACCAGAATTTATTCTTCCAAACTATAGCACTGTGTCAGAAGGCAGATATACTTTCTCTTCCCCAGCCTGCAGAATCACTACCCCCTCTTTAAGAGCTCAGCTCTCTCAGATTCCTCTTGAGTGAGATCATGCAGTTTATCTTTCTCTGTGTGACACACAAGATAAAATACATACGGTAAACAAAATAGATATGAAAAGGTCCAAAAAGGGGGGGGGGGATAGAATGATACTCTGTTTAGAAGCTTAATTTCAAAACCTGAGAGTGACCAGTAGCCATTGGGTAAACACTTACGTAACCAACAGTGGTTTAAGAGTAAAGAGAAGTCAAACCAATGAAAAATGGGTAGAAGCCAATAGCTGGTCAGTCACCCCTTTCAAGCATCTGAAGAATGCATGTCCAACACATTCCAGGATCACCTCCCCTGCAGGCTGTGGAGTTGCCCTGCCCAGTGTCTATCCATCCACCTTAGGCCACATTGTAAAGAGAAACTAGCAGGAGAAGCAGATGCTCTTCTGTGTTTCCTATGGAGCTCTACTTTAGTAACCCCTTCTCTTGTAATTAAAAGAAAGTCATAATCATTGAGGTAGGGGAAAGTTAGCTACCTAAGACATTTGACAAAGGTGGTGCAAAGGGCAGTGAAAAGAGACTCAATAGCAGGGGTTTGCTGGCTAAGCTAGCTTTACTTCTAACCATTCTTTAATTCCTTGTTCACATTCCCTCACACCACCCCAACTAAATTCCTATGTTTCATCAATGTAAGGATGCAAATGGAGTGTTGCGTTGATGGGTGCTCCACCTACCTGTCTTGAATAAACAAATCTATTCCTTGTGAATAGAATCGGTAGAGAACCAGCCTTTTACTCACTTTTCTTCCAAATTTCTGACTTACTGCTCCTGGAAGGGGTATAGAGGGTTTTCTGATCCACTTAGTTTGCAGGAAGTAATTGAGTTGATAGATTATACCATTTCCTCCTTCTGATCCTGTCTGTGGATTCCCCTCCGAATGATTTGCAGAGTGTGAAAGTCTTTCTAGCTTCTTGATGAAGTTCACTCAGGGAGTTAGACTGCTGAAGACCAGCAGCCACCAAAGCCACCCTAAACCAATGGCTTCTCTCATCTCCAAAGAGAGTAAGAATAGGAGGACATGGAGAAAGCAGATTTATTAGAGTCGAATAAGAAGAAAAGAACTTCATAGTGTGGGAGGGGCTCCAAAGAATACCCTTGTGTTTACCTTCCATGTCTTCTTTTATGGGATGTATGGCGAGAATTGGTTAGAGTCAGAGATAATCTTCACTAGATTGGTCCTGTCAGTGCATCAGAGTGAGTCAATAAGGAGTTGACATGCTCTGCGCATGCTCCCTAGTGTCGGTTTACTAGTCCGTTCCAGGGAGAAGTGGCTTCTCTGGGGCTAGCTGCGTTCCAGCAGGGACCCTACTTTTCTGCATGAGGGAGCTATCTGCTGTCTCACAAGGAGCCTAGAGTCGCTTCTACTCTAACACTTGCTTTCACTGCCTGCTGAAGCATCATAGCAACATTATGGTGTAGGGGAAACTGTAGCCACGCCTACTTAGGGGCTGGCTACAGGTGTGTCTGACCACGCTTGCAAGGGCGTGGTCAGGGGAACGTAGTATGACTGAGTTTTTTGTTTCTGTCTCTCTTTTGGGTTTGCGTACAGACCGCTGCCACGCTGGCTGGCTAGGTTGCTCTGTAAGTAAGGCTTTTCCCTATTAAATACCTTTATATTTCTACCTGACTCGGTATTGGTAATTTCCCACTATATTATGGGTCAGAGTAGAAAAAGTAACCCCTCATCCAAAGTGTGGTTGAGCATTCTAGCCAACTGAAAGCTAAGAACCCCAATACCATCAACAATAAATGCTTCAAGTTTTTCTTCCTTCCCAACTTCTATTTTCTATGAATCTCATCAGAAAACTCAATTACAGAAAAGATAAAATACAATAAAAAAACGGTTCTAAACTTCTCATGCAAACACAGTAGCTCCTTTTATTGCATTATCCAATTATAATCTCATCCAAGACATCCCCAAAGCTACCCAGTAATCTCATTTATCAAAAAAGGGAGTGGAAAGACGATGATTCTCAGTAATCCTTTGAGGTGCAACTGGAGAGTCACCACATAAGTATAGATATCTAATGCTAAGACACTTAAGAGAATAGGTGTGTTATTCTTTCCATGACAATCATGC